TAGAAGATTGCCTGCTTAGGCAATCTTGAGTACCTTCTCTGCGGCAATCCTTCCGCTGCTACCTTACCTCGGCCGTAGCCATGCTCGTCTCCGGACGAAGTCCTCGTTGTTTGCCACCGCTACTTTATCTGGTAAGCTCATCCTCGTTCGGAGGTGTGTGGGATATGATTTGATTCGGCTAGCTAGAAACGGGCGCGAAAGCACAAAATCATTTTGTCAACACGAACGCATCAATAAGGGATTCGAATATTGGGTCAGTCAATGACTTTATCGCATACACATAATTTATTTGTCTCTAAGGCCTTCTTGACTATTTATTATCCGCGTATAAGTTTTGGGCCTGCGTTGCTACCGCGATTTACCACACGTGGCGTACACGGACACCGCCATCTTATCCGCTGCTGCACATGAGTCACGCTTATTCACTTTCGCTATGCAATACGCGCGAGCGCCTTTTATTGTCTCGCGATCTCACGTGAAATCGCCGCCGGCCAAACACGCGAAACTAATAACATGAAGCTGATAAGCTGATCTTATTACAACGGCTCTTATCTATGCCGACGCTCAGATTAGCCTCACTCGTATTCCGGTCTCGCTGGAGAAGTTGTCGATGTCGATTCGGGCGTCCACCGTATCCTTTGTGTGCGTCTTCTCAGAATGCCCTTTTCTTCTTTCAACTAGAGTCTTTTACAAAACAGCAGCACACTTTTTTTACGGGACGAAACGTTCGCACTCAGTAAGGGCCACAACCATCCGCGATGAGTAGCTATCCTAAATTCTTTTCTTTTCGCTATCCCTATCTCACTCTTTCCGCGAAGAGCACGCCCTCAACTCGTGTCCGGTAGATGCTGCCCCTCACGGTCAGTATCCTGTCGAGGTGAGAGCGCGTTTATAACGTTCACCATTACAAAACACACATATATACAGGACGTAACAAAAGTACCAAAACAGTCCTTTATTTTTCAGATAAGGTATTTTTGAAAAAAGTTAGGGTCAGGTCTTTCGTAACTTTTTCCAAGGAATTCAATGGTGACATTGGATTTAACCTTGAACCTCACCTTCAAGGTTATTTCAAGGTCAACTTTTTTTTCAAATGGAAACCCCTCTTTTTTATAGCGGTAATTGAAAGAGCGGAAAATTTTACATTTAAATATGTATCTAGATCCAAGCCAAGAACAAGCCTAGAGGTCAAACATGTGTTGTTAGGGAAACATCTGGAAATTAAGTTCGTGATTAGTGATCCCAAAAATCACTGTACAAGCTATATTTCCAACGATACTGATACCATGGAGATGTGACCTTTATAATCTACAAATTACCAGAAAGTAATATTTTTCATTGCCGATATCAAAAATAGATGTTATCGTTTGAAAAAAAATTTGTTATTTATGTCCTTTACTAATCCTGCGATATTTCTAGATGTTTCCCTAACAACACATGTTTGACCTTTATTTGACCTCTAGGGTTGTCCTTGGCTTGGATCTAGATACATATTTCAACGTAAAATTTTCCGCTTTTTCAATTACCGCTATAAAAAAGAGGGGTTTCCATTTGAAAAAAAAGTTGATCTTGAAATAACCTTAAAAGTGAGGTTCAGGTCAAATTCAAGGTCAGCATTGAATTCCTTGCAAAAAGTTACGAAAGACCTGACCCTAACTTTTTACAAAAATACCTTACCTGAAAAATACAGGACCGATTCGGTACTTTTGTTACGCCCTGTATATACGAGGGGGGGTCAATAAGTCTTTACAAAATCCAAGAGATGGCGCTGGTCACGCTTAAATTATGATGTTTTTGGCAAACAATACTACTAACTAGATACCGTACAAACTTTCATCTCGATTGATTAAGTCATTTTTTTGTGAACGTTGGTTGAACAAAAAGTTATTGGTTTATTTGAAAAATGGAAAAAACAGAGTTTCGAGCGGTAATAAAACATTTTCATTTAAAAGGCCTCACACCAAAAAAAAATCACAGTTGAGTTAAACGCCGATCATGGCATGTCTGCCCCTGTGTTTAAGACTGTTTATAACTGGGTAAATGAATTTAAACGGGGCCGTACAAAAACAAAAAATAAACCTCCTTCAGGACGCCCCGTAGAAGTGAGTACGTCCGAAATGGTCAACAAAATCCACGATATGGTGTTGAGTGACAGAAGATTAAAATTGCGAGAATTAGTTGAGGCCACAGGGGTATCGTAACTGTAGACGAAACATGGGTACACCACTACACTCATGAAAACAAAGAATAGTCCAAACAATGGATTACCGCAGGAGAACCAGCCCCAAAGAAGGCAAAGACAGTAAAGTCAGCTAGCAAGGTTATGGCCACGATTTTCTGGGATGCGTATGGAATCATCTACATCGACTACTTGGAAAAGGGCCAGACGAGCACTGGATAATATTATGCGTCATTATTAGGTTAGCTGAAAGAAAAAATCAGAGAAAAACGTTCTCACTTGAACAAAAAAAAAATGCCTCATTCTTCAAGACAATGCTCGAGTTCACACATGTGCAGTTTCGATGGCAAAAATTAACGATTTAAAGTTCGAATTAATTGACCATCTACCATATTCACCTGATTTGGCTCCCAGTGACTTTTTCTTATTTCCTAATTTCAAAAAATGCTTGCCGGACTTGACTCGGCGAAAGTGCTCCGAAGAAGGCGAAGACTGCCCCATCGGTCGGAAAAGTGATGGCCACCGTTTTCTGGGATTCACAAGGTGTGATCTACATCGACTATCTGGAGAGGGGCAAAACGGTCACAGTGCTGTACTATGCCGAATTATTGGGCCGATTCGACGTCGAATTGCAGAAAAAACGGCCCCATTTGGCGATGAAAAAAGTGCTCTTCCACCATGACATCGCACCGGCTCACACCTCCGCCGTCGCTATGGCCAAATTGGTCGAATTAGGCTACGAACTGTTGCCCCATCCATCGTATTCTCCAGACTTAGACCCGTGCGACTTCTTTTTATTACCAAACTTGAAAAAGTCACTCGCCTGGCAGAAATTTGAGTCGAATGAGAAGGTAATCGCTGCCACGGAAGCCTACTTTTCAGACCTCGAGGAAACGTATTTTTCAGACGGGTTAAAGAAGTTGGAGCATCGCTGGGCCAAGTATATCGAACTAAAAGGAGATTATGTTGAAAAATAAAACGCCACTTTTCCAAAATTTTCGTTTTTCTTTTGTAGGCTAAATACTTATCGGACCACCCTCGTAATGTAATTTTTTCACTGAGTGGGCAAATAAATATGGACGGCAGTGTATGATCGCTCTGTAACCATTTTTACAGTTGATATCCTCTCGATTATGAGCTCAAGCTATGTCAGCGTCAAATTTAATTCGTTGCTTGGCATTATATTAATCTAGTTTGTTAAAAGTACGTTGACTTCATTGAAGATTAAAAGCTCGTTAATGTTCTTAAATATTCTTTTTTTGATCCCGAATACTATTGTTTACAGTTAAATTGTGAAAAATATGATAAAAAGAGAAACGGAAAGATAAAAAATATTTTTGTGATTTGAATAACTTTCTTTAGTTTATTCCATGTTACTAAAAAAGAAAGAAAATGAATTCTAATCATTCGAGATGAGGAGTAAGAGAAAAATAAGACCAACAATAATAATATTTTATAATTCATTCAGCCAATCGAATTTTATCACGGTGCGAAGTAGAGTAGACAACATAGTATAAATAAAAAATCAAGTACGTTAAAAATAATGGAAAATAAATGAACAGATAGATGTAAAGATAATTGCTATATACATATGTGTGTGTGTGTATGTGTGTGTGTGTATGTGTGTGTGTGTGTGTGTGTGTGTGTGTGTGTGTGTGCGAGCGCCTGGGCGTGTTGTCTCTCTTGTTCTAGTGTCCGACGAGAGGATACTTCACAGGGCACTGGCTAATTCGAAGCGGAATCGGTACTCGGAGACCAGTGAAAAAAGGCAGCAAAAAAGCGATGTTAAAAACAAAGAAGAGGTGGTAGAGATGCTTTAATGCTTACTTCGGCTATTTTGCTCGGAATCTTCTACCGTCCGCGTGCTGTATGCTTTTTCAAGTGCACTTTTCTCTCTCTCTCTTTCTCTCTTTCGCTCTCTCTCAGTTCTATATTAGCACTGAAGCAGGTAAGACCAAACACATGATGCAAGGAATAAATAATAATAATAACATAATAATTGAAAGACAATAACGTGAATATATTCGAGAGAGAGAGAGAGAGAGAGAGAGAGAGAGAGAGAGAAAGAGAGAGAGATAGAGAGAGAGAGAGAAAGAAAGAGAGATATAATGAGTGTGGCTATCATTCGTTTATTTTCAGCGGACCAAAATGACATGCCTGAATCAGGAATTTATTTAACATTTTATTGAAGCATTAATTAAAAAGGCTGATAATTAGATCCAATTTTATCAGTTTTTTAATTTGCTAAAAAATAACTCAAAATAACAATATTTCCAATAGCGCTACAAAACTTCTCAGAATTAAATGTCATTTCATATATTGTCATTTATTTTCATAACAAGGAGTGGATATTAATAAAAAAAAATTCTTTCATCTATAGATTCTTTCGAACAAATACAATTAAATACGTAAAAAAAAATTTTAAAAGCCAACGTTTTGGTTTCATTCACTTATTTTGATCACCTAAATACGACCAGAGGTTAGAATTGACACTTGTTAATTTTAGTTAAACACGAAAAATTCAAACGTTTTAAAATCGATAAAATTTAGTCTTGATTATAATGGTGAAAATATGACGATTGATTATATCATTTCCATTGCAGATATTTCATTGAGCCAGCCTTTTTTTATTTTCGGTAGTTATCTATTCATTGAATGATCAGCGCATGACGGTTATGTTGAGACCAATTACATAACCCATGAAAAAATTTTCCATGAGTAACCACGTTATATAACAATAGGATTCCAAATATCTCATTAATATAATATTGCACTATGCATTATTTTGAACCTAAATTATAGTTTCTACAAACATTTTTACCTTATCAACATCAGTAATAATATTATCTGTTATAACGGACTGTAAACGATCTGCTGGAACTTTATCGTGAAAGGTTTCCGATGGCCTTAATAAAGATTTGAACGCCGTTGCAACCGAAAGCATCATAAATAAGGAAGAAAGATCTGCTGCTTTATTTTGACCATTTATTAACATTCTGCAAAAAAATATTATCATGAAAAAATAAACATATTTATGAATCAAACCTATTATAATATCGCTGTTCCAATAACTAGTACATAAATTTGATTTAAGTATACGGAGTATTTATAAACTTTGTATGTATAGCGTGCTTTCTTGATATATTGATAAACAAAAAGAACAAGATCTATTCTGAAAGGAAAAATTAAAAAATTTTACAATCAATTTACAAGCATTATTTGGTTTGCTACTAGAGATTCAACATTTTAAGAAGAAAAAAATCTACAAATTTTAGGGACTTTATAAGTTGATGTCTTAAGTCGTTATATAAAGTAAATTGCTACAATAAGTGGTTCAGGCTTTCATTTTTAATATTGCGACGGGATAAGGGGAGGGGAAAAATAAATGTGTGACAAGACAATTCTTTCTCCGGCCTCGACCGTCGCCAGGGGCGCAGTCAGCCGATAATGTGCAGCTTTTATTTTTTTGATTTGGGCGCCAACTACCGTGTCCTTGCGTTAGGAGGGCAGGTAGCGCTGCAACATCGGCTGTTGTGGGGCGGGGGGGGGGGGGGGGGGGGGCGACGATGCGGTGATGGGCAATCAGCGCTCCCTTCCTGGTCGCTGGGGTTGTCGGGTGGTTTCCCCACTGTCTCTTTCTTCGTCGCCGTTATACGCCGATCTCGCGCAATCACCTACAGGAGATGAAAGAGAAAAGGGAGCGCGAAACCCTATACTGAGTCGTTCGAGAGGATACCGAATGGAGAAAGAGGAACAACGGGTGATTTTTAGCCACTCACGGCTGCGGCTCGTCGGCTAGTCGGTGATACTCGGGGCACGAGGCTTTTATCTCAGAAGCGGGTACATCAGGTGGCGTCACAGGACGCCTCGTTGACAGGCTAGTAGATAGGAGAGGTTCCTGATCGTTGACTGGTGGCGTGGCTCATGATAACGATTGTCGAAAGGGCAATTAATTCATCTAAACGCGCTCGTTAATCTCGGGACCGACCACGAAAGCTACGGGGGATGAGGTAGTCAAACAGGCGAAGTCAATAATAACAATAAATTAATAAGGACTCGAGTTTATTAAACCAATTCAAAGATCCCCAGGTCAACCCAAGGTCAATCGCTCACGATGGTCTATCTAATGTAATCTAGTAGGGGCGCGGGTGGCGCACCACGACGCGACTTCGACTTGGGTGGACGATAGTTGATGCGGACGGTCTCGAGGATTGCGAACGCGATTATGCAACGTCGAATTATTTACTTCGCGCACGAAAGCTCAGAAGTTCGTTCGAGGCAAACACACGCACGAGGGATCGATCGGTCGCGCGAAGGTCAGCCGCTACTCGATCGACGTTGTTAGCACCTAAAAGCAATAATCGCGTAACGAAAAACAGGGGCTAGTGATGCGTGCATGGAAAACTCGTCGGTCGAGCGAAGGTCAGACGCGACTCGCGTGATATATAAGTCCGATCGGCGTCACAAAGAAATTCGTCAACACGCATATGAAGCTCGTCGCCCGCGCGAAGGTCATGCGACAACGGAAAATTACATAAAGGAATCTACGATAGCTAAAGCACACACGGGGGAATCGGCCGGTCATGTGAAGGTCGGGCTTTGTCTAATCGAAATAGCAACTAACGGGAAAATCACTTTAAGAAAATCGGCAATAACTACGCGCACACGGATAATTTACTTTCCGCGCGAAACGGGCAAAAGCTCGTTTATCAATCGACAAATCGGTAAGGTTAGGCGAGGAATTTACGGTACATAGACGCGCGCGCGTGAAGAATTCGTCGTTCAGACTATATTCGGTACAACGGCGCAACAAAGAAAACTCGCCCGAACGGTCAGTGACGAATATTTCGCGCACAAGCAAATCTATCGGACGCGCGAAGGTCATGCGGCACTCCTATTACGCGGATGTTTAGCAAACACGCGATCTAATGGAAAAGGAGAAGCGTACTTACTCGGGCGTGTGTTTAACACGATCGCGACCGCGGCTACCGCCGCTAATGCCGCCGTAGCTACCGCTACTGTTGCTGCCGTTGCTCCTGCCGTTGCTGCTGCTGTTGGTCACTGCTGTTGCTGGGGCTGCTGCTCGCTGCTTGCTGGGGCTGCTGTTTACTGCTGCTGCTACTCGCTCTGCCTGCTCTGCTGCTCTGTTGCTGCTGTTACTCGCTCTGCTTGCTGTGCTGGTGTTTACTCTGCTGCTGCTTGCTCTGCTTACTCACTGCTGCTTGCTCTGGTTCACTCGCAGATTTAGGTCTCCGGTCGCTCCGGAGGTCGGCGGCTAACTGGCGCAGCGTTTTTCGGCGACGCACCGCTTCTCCTTGCTTACCTCCCTTAGAAATTATGCGATTGGTCGGCTTGTTGCTAAGCCGGATGGCGGTTGGGATCACGACGCTCTCAGGAAGCTCGATTATAATCCGCTTAGCAAAAACATGGATGATGCACATAGTGCACCATATGGCCAGCCGCGAGGCTGGCCAGGTCACTTTATGCAAAATCTTTTGTCAAAGCGGCGGATAGTAGTTGTCTTCCTCAACAGAGAGTGGAGACTTCTCAAACAAACACTTTGTTGTTTTGGGAGAGGATGTCGTAAACTTCTCTTACCTGTACGGGCATAAGCAAATGCAAATGCTGAAGTACAAAATGCGTCACCGATTGCCCTCGACAAGCAACTAATGCTAGTCGACCTGAAGTGAATGCAATGTGTATTTGAACGAAGACTTGCAATCACACGTGCGGATGTGTGTACCTTCACGTAGTGGAGCTGAAAACGCTGTTTCTGTAAAGAAACAGTAGGTAAAACACACAACGCTCGCCCCTAGGGCAAAAGGCCAATCGGCCAAACGACAATAAACAACACGGACCATGACAGCACGTGGTGAGGTGCGGCCCGTAAACGCCCAAACATTCAACGTGGAGTCTACCACACCCCAAGAGCTCAACTCAAGCCCAGAAAAGCCAAAATCCGGGAATCACTTCAGGGGAAATCTCTTGGGATTGTGGTACCACGCGCCCTCTTAGAGGACGGGAGACCGCTCCAGGAGCTAGTTGCAGAGAACCAATGGTCCCGGCAATCCGAATCTAATTCGGGTAGATAAGAAATTACTCCCTATCGACTGGCAATCGGTAGGTGCCACTATTGTGGGTAAAGAGTCGTGGCCGTGGTCATAGCAGCCACCCAAAGTTCTTTGCCTCGAGCTCCGGGAGTAAGGCCCGACACCTTTGTGTGAGAAAACACAATTTGAACGCTAATCTCGAACGCTAAAACACCTGATTTGAGCCTGGATCTCGGAAATTGATTTGAATGAGTGGCATGACTGGCACGAATATTGAAAACTGCCTGGAGAGTCGCCTTGTCGGCTAGGCGAGAGCCCGCCCCTGACCCAAGTCACAAAATAAATCGAAAGAGCAGAGATCAATATCAGCGAGTCATAAAAGCCTTCCATGGAAAGCGAAATCCGAGACTCGGGCAAAATCAGAACACAACCTTTCGAATGACGGATACCCACCAGCGTGAGCGGGGATGACCGAAACACAATGGGAAGACATGCCCCGGCACGTCGAAGCGATGGACCTGTGAGTCGTGGGAGAAATCCCTTAATACAGGTACGCAGGGTGAGATGTATTTCGAACGCGAGCCCAGGAGGGGAGGCTTAGTTGGTTGATCGTCTTAGGAATCTTCCTCTGGCTGTCCTGGCTGAGTCTCTCTTCTGACATCCCAATTTGGGTTGGCCTCTGCGGAGTAGTGGTACCAGGTCAAGCAAATCTCGTAAGATTTGTACGCTGCGTGCTTCCGACGCAGTAGACGTTGGGGCAACTAGAGTCCCGTCGCGCCCAAACCGAGGGTCAAGCCTTTAGTTCCGCTCTCCTTGAGCGTCGAACCGTGAAAAGATCGGTACTCCTTTCGAGGAGGTCGCCGCCTTAGATTAAAAAGGTTCCGACTCGCTGTGTGCGTCAGGGATGTCGCAGCAAACTTGACTTCCGAATCTTAAATAATGTTTGAAAGCGAAGGAGTGAAAGACAGTGGGCTATGCCAACCTATTGGCGCCCAGAGAGAGGGGTGATAATGTTTGATTACGCTGCGCCACCTTCAAAGCGGAAAAGTGTGAACGACACACATACACTTACTGCTAAGCCGGATGTCAGCGCCGTCTATTTCGTTATTTATTGCCCGCTTAATTTCGTTATTGGTCGAGTCTTGGCGCCTAATTTCCCCATTGGATGCAAAGATAGCGTCGGTTTTGTTTCATTCGTCTAACTACCCCTAAGCTGGTACCGATTGGCTAATCCGTTAGTGTCGTTCACCTGTCCTTGTCTATCGGCCGCCCGTTAGTCTTACCGATTCTCCTCACTCGCATCCGATCGGTCTCGTATCGGTTGTCTCACTCGCTCTTACGCGCTCGGTTGCCCCTACTTCGGTCTAGCCAGGTCTGCCTTAGTTAAACGGTGGCTTGCGATCAGCTGATTCCAGCTGGAATCTTTACGGGCGTCCAGCTTTCTGGGGGAGTATCGCGGGCGTAAGAGTCGTGCGCATCGGTTGGGAAGACCCCAGGGGACCATAGGTCGTGAGATCTCGGACATGTGCGGGGGGGTTTATGCGGCAACAGCTGTTCGGCCGCATGTTTTTATCAGGAGCGGGGATAGCGTACGGTAGCGTAGTTTTCTGTGATGACGCATCATCACAACATTGCATTTGCACTAGCTCGTTCATATACTTAAATCCATATAGTGATGCAGCCATGTTATAGTGATTGGCTTTACATTTTCTAATAAAGAAGCACGTTGTCGCCACGCTTTTACTACCAATGGTTTATAGGGAATAAGAGAGGCACTTTCGCTCTTATCAATCGAAGAGGGAAGAAAGGAAAGTTTCACAAATAATTACACACACCGTTTATCAGAACACAAAATTATATTTCTAATCATTCACAAACAACGAACGAACGTGTACACTCTTTATACAAGGTTTGTCCCAAAAGTATTTGACCTATCTTGATTTCTC